CATTGTATGTTATGGAAACTTGGAAAACTACCAAAGCCATCATCCGAAAGATTTAAATATTATCAATCAACCACTGTTAGACCACCATTAGAAACCAGGAAGCACTGGACGGCCGTTTCATACTGATATGGGACTCACCAGCAGTGCGAACCCACTACTCATACACCTCACAGGATTCGAACCCGAAACTATCGGTATTGTGCGCGAACGCCTAAAAACCGGATCACTGGGACGGCACACGATGGTGTTAATGTCTAACTGTGATTGATCTACGGATGCGCACTGCTGATGAGTACCATACCAGGACGAAACGACCGTCTTGCAGTACTTCCAAGTTTCTAATGTTGGTCTAACAATGATTGATTGATGATTTCAAATTTGTCAAAACACAAACCTCCAAATCTCTGCCCGAAAATATAAATATTAATTAACAGTTGTCGACACATAATTCTTCATATCCATTAGCCAAACATCATCAGCAACAACCTACTGCGGGAGAGAAAAAACCAAGTTGTTGCTAAGGGAAAAATTAGGAAAAAAGGCTGGAGTTGGATAGGTGTTAGGATATTCATCCAATATCCTAAGAGAATTATTTGTAGGTCTAGTTCTATTGGTCAATTCATACTGGTCAATAATATGGTCGTTCTGACTATCAATGTTACAGACTTCAATGTTGGTTCCTATTCAACCTAAATGTATAAATACGCATTATCTGTAACGCTGTATGACCCGGAGCCGGATCCTTACTCCAAGATCCTCATCCTCTTCTGGACTCGGACCCCATACTTTCTAGATGCTTGTAGAATACAGGTTCAACTTCATATAAAGACTTCATCTTTTACTCAAAGGGTGTTGGGACACTTGGATTAGAGAAGCATATCGTGTCGCCGGATCCTCCATCTTCGCTCTCTTTTTCCAACTCAGGTAAACTCGTAATAATTCAAGCATATCAAAATGACATGTTAACGTGCATACGTAACAATAAGAAATCTTCCAGCTGCGTCACGAATCAAATCCTCAAGGTCAGTGGGAAAAGATGTAGACCAAAGAACACATTTCAAAGAGAATTGGAAGCAGACATGCAAAGAATGAACAGACATTGGATAGAACTGGAAATACAAGCCCAAGATAGAGTAGGTTGGAGAATGCTAGTAGCTAGTCAATGCTCCATTTAGGGTGGTAATAGGAGTAAGTAAGTAAGTAAGTGCATAGGTAAGTAAGTAAGTAAGTGCATAGGTAAGTAAGTAAGTGAGTGTGTAAGTAAGTAAGTGCATAAGTATGTAAGTAAGTAAGTGGATAAGTAAGTGCATAAGTAAATAAGTGGATAAGTAAGTAAGTAAGCAAGTAAGTAAGTAAGTAAGTAAGTAAGTAAACATAATGTTTTAAATAAACTATAAAATAAACTTATATTAATTTTTTTCACTTATTTATAATCCTTATATTGATTGATTAAACATTCAAACAATGACAACAACAACAAAATTTAATATTGACTGCAAATTTAATCATTAACTTAAACAACTTCCATAGTAAAACAATTGAATGTTGAACAAAATCAATAATATTTATGATTCTTCACAATTGAATGATTATAATAAGAAAATGAGGAAATTGATTTTTAAACTTTCATTCATTCATACAACTATAATAAAATGGTTAATTTACTGGCTTAGTTATTTACTTACTTACCCCTGTTACCCCCAATGGAGCATAGGCGCCCCCACCAGTTCTTGTCCAACCAACTCTGTCCTGGGCTTCTCTTTTTAGTTCTTTCTAGTTTTTGTTCATTCTTCTCATATCTTTCTCTATTTCTCGGTGTAATGTGTTCCTTGGCATTCCTCTTTTCCTTTTGCCATGAGGGTTCCATGTGAGGGCTTGTCTTGTGACGCAGTTAGGTGCTTTCCTTAGTGTGTGTCCTATCCACTTCCACCGCTTATTCCTGATCTCCTCCTCCACTGGAATCTGGTTTGTTCTCTCCCATAGTAAGTTATTGCTGGTTAATTTACAGAAAGAATATTTATCTGACGAAGAAAATGAATGAAATTATTACGTGCATTTTGAATTATGTTTTAATCATCTAAAAATACACTTTAGAATAAGTATTACTACTGTTGGGGAATGTTAAATCCTCAAAACTCACTTGGAAAGGGCCTTATTTTGGATTTTTTTATGTTTTCGTGTATATGTTGCTTAGCTGACCTTGAGATTACATTTCCCACTGGGGAAATCTTTGACTGTCATTGGTTGATGGATTACTTTAGTACTATATTTTTGTGGCTCTCTCAAGGACGTTTGTGTCATGCATAAATAATCTCGATTTGTGTGCTTGTCGACCTCATATTTTCCGGGTGCTTGTAGAATACACTTTTACGCCTTATCACGAATTCTTAATATAGTTATCAGGGCCTCGGACGCTCAGATTAGAGTAGCATATCGTATCAGTAGATCATTTGTCTTCGCTCTCTCATTTACCGACTAAGGTGAACAACTCGTAATACCATTCAAGCATATCAACTGACGAACAATCTATATACGTACACTAAAATATAAGCGAATAATTGACAAGGTCGAAAGACGTGTAATTAACAATTCTACAAGAATGGACTAATTAATTTGTTCAAAGTCGGATAAACCCCTATATGCTCGACAGACTTATACACACACACTCCGCACTTTCATCCAATTAGCATGAAAAATAGAGCCGCCACTAAAGAAACATTTGGAAAATTCAAAATCACATACCACGACGCTGAATGTATATTTGGCCATTGCGTTACTAAATATATGTATTGTTTGACTCTGGAAACTTACAGAATCTCAAGGTCATTTGTAACTCACTAATCTGTACATAGACAGACTTTTGGAGTTAAACGTACTGAATTAAAAACTTACAATATAAAATGTTAAAACTTTTAAAAACTGATTAAATCAGAAATTACAGACAAGTTTTTCATATTTTTAATCAATTTTTGCTTTTATAGGAAAATCAACTTTCACAAAATGTTAATGTCAGCAAAGTGTTTGATAAAATATTGATCAATGTACAATTCATGTGGTGTGAGCTACTTATAATAAGTAGTATATGACGTGAGTGTCAACGTAATGTCTGGCAGCAGAAGAGGATGGGGGAAGATCAAGAAAGGAAGAGTTAGAAGAACACAATGGAATTTGTATGAAACGCATGAACAGTGAGTGACAATGGATTGATGTTTTGCAACAGGAACAGTCCAGTTCGATATGATGAACTGATATATTTGCAAATTAACGAACGATTTACGATATGGTTTACCGATTTTACTGAGTAACTCTGTAATTTTCGTTCAATACAATTCGGTTGCCCTCACCTGCGTTCTCGTTCACTACACAACAACTACTTTTCAATGTTCAATGTGTTTTACAATAGGCAACATTCTTTGATTTACATATTAAAGTGAATGAATGTTGCATATTAGAAAACATTTTTCATTGAACCTTTCATTCAGAAGCCAGAACATACACTGATTTGACTCTTTTATCTGATAAGTTAACATATGATACAGTGGTGTAGTGGATTCTACTCACAAGATGGCATGTAAGTAGTATGTTATGAAGTGTCATCTAGAAATGACTACAATAGAGATTGGTATCTGCAATATGGACATGCATACCAAGATTAGAGTTTATTGAGGATCGAAAGAGAAGTGAGAAATGAGTCAGTGAATGTTTGACCATTTTGAGTTAAAATTTTTAAGATTAAATATGCCTTCTCTAAATGCGTATATCTGATCTGATCTTCTATGGTTTTTTATATTGTAGTGTGGATGTTCACAGAAGACTTCTATAGAAATGATATTGAAATGAAGAAGTATTAGTAGATAAACGCGAACGAGACTTAAACCAGCGTCCAGGTAGGCTACCTTGAATCCCAAGCTGTAAAACAGAAGTCTCCATAAGCGTAGAAAGTATATTCTACAAATACCCAGCAATCACACAACACAATCAAGCATACAACTCTCGTTTATTTATACAACATAGAAACATCCTTGGGACAGTTATGAAAATAGCACACTAATAAAATACACAGCAGCCAATCACACAGCCATCGATTTTCCTGGTGGGAAATAAAAATCTCAAGGTCAACTGATCAGCCCATGCTCGCAAACACGTGAAATCCAAATAATAAGGCATTTAACAAGCGAGTTTCGGGGATCTAACAAGAAGTGATAGAATATTTGAATAGAAAATTTGTTTGAAAATTGACAAATATCACACTTCTACTGAACATTGAACAAAGATTGTTATTTTTACATCAGTTTCTAATAATAACAACGCGAATTCTTGACATATTTTTATTCGACCTTGAGTGTGAAAAAAGCCTTTTTGAAACTTGAACCAGCATTGAACACTGTTAGTGTTCAGTGTTTCAGTCAATCTGTGATATTGGATGACCATTGTTCGTTGTCTGGAGACGGGTAATTTTCGTTAAATACAATCCGGTTGCCCCCACCTGTGTTCTCGTTCACTACATTCATACTTATTTTACAATTTTCACAAATGAGAATCCTTTGATTCCGATTCAAAACCATTGAAACATTGATCTCCCTTCGTTTTTTATTTGTCTGTCTGTATTTAATCAACACCGCACTAACAAATCATTTCAGTGATTCTCCTTCTCTCTCTATTTTCTGAACGAATAACCTAACTTTTATTACAAAATAACGATCGAACTGATGATTCCTAACTGTATCCTTTCAAGTCATGGGATGAATTATACAGAGAGAGAGAGGAAAACATATTGATAAGAGAGCAATAACTCTCAAAATGTTATGATTGTGTTTTGCAATAACTGAAATTCTTGCCAACTGTTTTTTAATGTATCAACTTTTTTCAAGGTCAACTGTCTGAATGCTGATTGGTCGTGCATAGAATGAACAAATCCACTGAATGATAGATATTACAGTCGGACTGACATTCATTGACTAAGTATAATAAATCTTAAATTTACAAATGTCTTTGTGCAGTGAGTGTCATTCATTCTATTTGGATTAATACGTTTTTACAGGTAATATAACACAAATTGATTTTATTTGAATTGTTATGCAGCTTACTAGTTAATTTGTTCCCCATTTTGATGATTTAAAAGAGGTTTGACTTTGATTAGGCATAATGATACTTGGTTTGTTGATTACTATATAGTTAATGACACACGAAAGAATTCTTAGCATGAAGTGGAGGAAAATTCCAATTAATTTCCTATTTCACAAAGATTGAATTTTGAATGGATGCGCACTGCTGAAGAGTCCCATACCAGGACGAAACGGCCATCCAGTGCTTCCAGGTTTCTAATGGTGGTCTAACATTGATCGATTCATGGTTTCAAAAATGTGTTCTATAAATATACTGTTGCCCCCCCCCATTGGAACGTAGGCCGTAGAACAGTATTCTTCAAACTATTCAATCCTGGGTCTTCCTTTTCAGTTCTAACGAAATGATAATCATTCTTTGTATGTCTATCTCCGTTTCTCGGCGTAATGGGCTCTTTGGTCTTCTTTTTCTGCTTTGGCCTTGAGGATTCTAAGTGAAAGCTTGCCTCGTGACCTCCATTGGCCGACTTCCTCAGTGTGTGTCCAATCTACCTCCAGCACGTTGTGTTAATTTCTTTCTCAACTGGAATCTGGCTTGTTCTTTCCCACAATAGGTTATCACAGATGGTGTCTTGTCAACCGATGAGGATTACGTAGTGTAGAAAACTGTTTCTGTTCCATAGGATAGAACTTTGTTGAAGTTCATTCTGAAAATTGTAAGTTTGGTGTTGTTTGATAGTTGTTTTGAGTTCAAAATGTTTACCAGTTGTGGAAATATTGCTCTTGCTTTTTAAATCTATACCTTCACATTTACATCATATGACTTGCCTCTATCAATAATGATACCTTGATGTGTAAAAGTCTCCACCTCTTCCGTAGATTCTCCATTGAATATGATTTGGTTGGTGTATGTTGTGTTGAACCTAAGGATCTTGCTTTTTCCCCTTTCGTATGTTGAAGTATACTACACTGACGCTCTTCATGCGCATTTGTTTCTGTATGTGGGATAGAAGTGATAGATCGTCTTTGACGTCTAGATCATCCAGCTTCATCTCAGCTGTCCACTCAACCCTGTGCTTCCCCTGAAATTTTTTGACGTCTTCATTTATTTATTCCGTAAGCGTTTAAGGTCAGTCTGACTCTTACAATCTCTATCTCTTCACCGGCATTATCTTAACAGTTTGAATTTGGCAGAAAACACTTTTTTTAGAGTACAGATCAAGTAGAACATCTATTTACCTGTGAAATGATATTTCTTTGGTTTTCCGCAGTACTTTAATTTGTGAAAAGTTGTAAACATTTTGTTAAAACTCATCAAGTACGATTCAGCTGACATATATGATTAGTTTCGTTCTAGTATGTGACTCATCAGCAGCGCTCATCCAGCAGCCGTCTAGTACTTCCAGGTTTTTTTTTAATGGTAGTCTGACGTTGAACTCAACTATCTTCACAATTCTGTTATCAAAAAAAAGAGATTTTAATCAATACAACATTCTCCGGTTGGAAAAACAACTCCATTTTAATCATGTTTGATATTGATTTCTAGGAAAATGATTATTTTAAAGAATCTTTAGAAAAGTAGATTGAAGAGGTGAATATCACAATTTGATTTAAGATTTCTATGTCAGTGGATTTTTTCGATGTTGAGAGTTAGATAAATATTACTAATAGTAGTAAATAAGTCTCACATAATACCTTCTGTCCTACATAAAGACCCTAACTGAATCATATCCTTCATGTGTAGATTCTTTTGTAATCTAGTTGATAAAATCATAGACTATCGATCTTTGGACTTTTTAATGTACCAGTTTTTATTCATACTAACTTACACTTACGCCTGTTACCCCCAGTGGAGTGAGTATGAGCAGTCCACCAGTCTTCTCCTCCACCTTCCTTTCTAGTTCTGTCCAACTGATGTTCATTCTTCTCTCTGTCTCTAATTTTCGACATAACGTGTACATTTACCTTAAGGATTCTATGTTCGTACTTGCCTCATGATGCAGATGAGTGTTTTCCGCAATGT